CAATTTGTATTTTAAAACTTTCCCACAAAGAGGAATGAAGTGATAGCAATTCTATACACAATATTCCAGGAAATTGAAAAGGAGGAACTATTCCTCAACTTTCAACTAATTCTGTGAGGCCAGCAATACCCTGATAACAAAATCAGACACATTATAAGACAAGAAAACTTAAGGTCAACATCCCAGATGAACACGGATGCAAAAATAATGAAGGCCCGCTCTAGCTGGTTTGGCTCAGTGGTTATAGCATCTGCCTGTGGACTGAAGAGTCCCGGGTTTGATTCCAGTCAAGGGCACATGCCTGAGTTGCGGGCTCGATCCCCAGTAGGGGCGTGCAGGAGACAGCTGATCGACGATTCTCTCTCATCATTGATGTTTCTATCTCTCTCTCCCTCACCCTTCCTCTCTGAAATCGACAAAAATATATATTTTTTTAAATGAAAACTGTCTTAGCAAAAAAAAAAAAAAAAAGAAAATCTATCAAATGTACAAAAACAGGCCACACAGGCCAGATATGCTGTCCTTGCTTTAGAGCTGCTTCTTAACCATAATAGTCCAAATCAAATAATGAGAATATTACACCAAAGTGGAGTAAACTGATAAGGTTTACTACTGGAGGTAAATGGCATGGACATCAGCTCTCCCAAACCATGTCCCAAGGACTGGACTTACTATAACATCTCCTTTACTACACACTGTTTTCCACTGAGTTTACAATTTTTTCACTTATTATTTTATATACTTATCACCAATTCAAACCTGAGCCTTTGCCTAAAAATTTTCTAAAGATAATTAAATACATCAGGTTTCTATTGATCTCATTTCCTGAAAAAGAGTCTTCTGGGGGCTTCTAACCTACTCCAATCTGGTCTGGTTGCCCTCTGTCCCTGTTTTTTCATTGTTATCCTGAAGAGTTCTTCACTTTCTCCTTTGTTAAATTTCCTATTCCCTGTAACCCATTCCTTTTATTTGGCTGACTTTTTCATTTTGATGGATTACATCCTCCAACAGATTCCTAGAAAAGGAAGGCAAAACACACACACACACACACACACACACACACACACACACACAAACCTTATATGTCTTAAAACATCTCAATTTTATTCTTATATCTGATCAATAGTTTTGATGCATATGGAATACTAAGGTTGAAATTATTTTCCTTCAAAATTTTGAAAATGATGTTTCATTTTCATTCAGTTTTATAATGCTACCACTGACAGGGCCAAAGCTAATTGATTCCTGTTACTTTGTATATAACAAGTTTTTCCCCTCTCTGGAAGCATGAAAAATCTGTTTGGTCCAGTAATTTGAAATTTCACCACACTGTATTTTTGTTGGTGTTTATATTCATCCACTGTACTGAACACTTGGTAAGCCTTTCAACTAGGAACCTCAAGTTCAAGAAAATTTTTTTGAATAATTTTATTGATGATTTATTTCCCATTTCCCTGTTCTTTCTTTTGGAAACAACTATTATTTGAAAATTGAAATTTCCTAGACTGGTTCTGTAAGTTTCTTAACTCTTCACTTCTTTTCTATAATCTCTTTTTTGCTCAACTTTTTCAGAGATTTCTTCAACATTAATTTCCTATTACTTCTGATAGCTTTTGATCTCTATCAGAATGTTAATGGTGAAAGCCTCTTTTAAAAATCAGAGTATTATTCTTTTAAGGTACCTCCTCCTTGTTTCGTGGCTGTATTATTTTCTCTTATTTCCCTGAGGATGTTAATAATGGTTCAGTTATTTTCCTCTGTAAAATTTCTGTTCTCTCCAAGTTGCTTTATTATGTTTATTTTAATCTCCATTTTTAAGGATTTTAAAAAATATCTAGTAATCTTTCATTAGCTGCTCATATTTAGGAGAAAAGGCCTCAAAGGCTGACTGGGGCTTTGATATATGGAGCGATCTAGCTGAGCTGCTTCCTTAAGAAACCTCTGATGACTACATTTATGTCTTCCTTTTTAGTCAGACTCCTCAAAAGAGTTAAGTAATAGTGTAAGTTAAAATTTCCGAATCAACCTGCATAAATTATTCCTCTTTTTATTCTGCAACAAACTATTTTATAAAAATAATACAAGTCCAAAACTTGGGAAGAATGAAATTGAAGAAAAAGGAACGAGATTATGACAAAGAGCTTTTATAGGATTAAAACACCATACATTTGTAAATGTGTGCTTTGTTTTATTTGTAAGTAAAGAGTTTCTAAAAAATCAAACTCAGTAATGACTGCCTGAAATTCTGTAATATATTTAGGTTCTTAATTCTCATTCTCTTAACAAGATCACTTCATTCATTCAAGATTTTTTTTCAGTAATTACTATACACCAGAAACTTATTCTTGGCACTGAAAATACAGCAATGAACAAATCAGACAAAAGTCTCTGCAATCATGGAACATTCATTCTAGTTTTGGCCATAGAAAATAAAATAAATACAAAGGATATAAGTACTATGAATAAAAAAGAGAGTGGGAGTGCCACTCGTGTAATCTATAGCTATAAAAGCCTAAGCGACCATTATGACCAAACAACCAGAACGACTGGTCAACCAGTCACTATGATGCGCACTGACCACCAGGGGGCAGACGCTCAATGCAGAAGCTGCCCCCTGGTGGTCAGTGCGCTCCCACCGGCCAACCACCCGTGGTCCCTCCCGCAGCCAGCCAGCCACTATGAGCCCCTGATGCTAAACCATTCGTCGACAACCTGCTTCTGGGTTGGGGTTTCGTACATGGCAGAGCAGCTTCATCACTGCAATCTATTGAAAGTCAGCCCTGACACAAGAGTTTGTCTTGCTCCCATCCTCTCCCTTCCCTGAGGGCCGCCTGCCTGCAGCAGTGGCGGTGAGGGAAGGAGGAGGGGGCAAGGTAGGGAACCGTGCGGTGGCAGGGCACCAATGGCAGCATCGGCATCTGGCATCCATTCCTTCCGCACCTGGCCCGTAACCATCGCCTCCTCTCCCAACCCCACCAGGCCCTTCAGGCCCCGGGCTGGGACGGGGAACCCGGGGTGGGTAGCAGCAGACATAGCCCCATTCCCAGGGGAGCCGAGGGCCAGTTCCCTCCTTGGGGCCGGTGGCCAACCTCCTACGGTCCCTCCACCACGCTGGCCAACCTCCCGCGACCCCCACCCCCCTACCTGGCAGGCCCTGATCAGCACAGACCTAATCAGCCCTGATTGCTGGCCAGGCCTAGGGACCCCACCCGTGCATGAATTTGTGCACCAGTCTTCTAGTTTCAAATAAGGTAATCAAGGGAAGGCCTATCTAAAAATTTCACTGGTACATCACATTTTAGCCTAGTTTGGAAGCTGTCACTTCAAAAAACAAAAAAAACAAAAAACAATTAAAAGCCTATGATAATAAATTTTAAACAGAAAAAGAAAATAAGAAGATCCTAATTTAAGACAGTAATTATAAACAAAAGCCACCTCTTCTGAGAGAGCTAAGACTAGAAATATAGCATTGACCAAATTTTTAAAAGCCAGTGTGATGATACTCTAACAAATATTACTGTTAAACATTTACTTCTGGCCCAGCTGGCTTGGCTCAGTGGTTGAGCTTTGACCTATGAACCAGGAGGTTGCAGTTCAATGCCTGGTCAGGGCACATGATCAGATTTCAGGCTTAATCCCCAATGAGAAAAATTGCAGGAAGCAGGCGTTCAATGATTCTCTCTCATCACTGATGTTTCTCTCTCTCTCTCTCTCTCTCTCTCTCTCTCTCCCCCCCCTCCCTCCTTCCCTTCCTCCCTTCCTCTCTGAAAGCAGTAAAAATATATATATTTTATATTATGATTATATCTTCTTTTTTTAATTTTTTTTTATTATTATTAGTTAAGGTATTACAAATGTGTCCTCATCCCCCCCCATTAACTCCCAACCTCCCCCCCGCCCCCCCCCCGCCCCCCGCCCCGCACACTCACGATCCCATCCCCCTGTTGTCCATGTCCATTGGTTTGGCTTATATACATGTATACAAGTCCTTCGGTTGATCTCTTCCCCTTACCCCTGCCCTCCCCTACTTTCCTTCTGGGGATTGATAGCCTGATCACTGTTTCTCAGTCTTTGGATCTGTCCCTTTTCATCAGTCTATGTTGTTCTCTATAACCCACAAATGAGTGAGATCATGTGGTATTTATCTTTCTCTGACTGGCTTATTTCACTTAGCATAATGCTCTCCATTTCCATCCACGCTGTTGTAAAAGGCAAGAGTTCCTTTTTTTTTTTACTGCAGCATAGTATTCCATTGTGTAGATGTACCACAGTTTTCTAATCCACTCATCTGCTGATGGGCACTTAGGCTGTTTCCAAATCTTAGCTATGGTGAATTGTGCTGCTATGAACATAGGAGTGCATATATCTTTTCTGATTGGCGTTTCTGGTTTCTTGGGATATATTCCTAGTAGTGGGATCACTGGGTCAAATGGGAAAACAGTATGGAGCTACCTCAAAAAACTAAAAATATATTTTTTAAAAATTTACGCCCTGACCGGTTTGGCTCAGTGGATAGAGCGGCAGCCTGCGGACTGAAGGGTCCCGGGTTCGATTTCAGTCAAGGGTATGTGCCTTGGTTGCGGGCACATCCCCGGTAGGAGGTGTGCGGGAGGCAGCTGATCGATGTTTCTCTCTCACCGATGTTTCTGACTCTCCATCCCTCTTTCCCTTCCTCTCTGTAAAAAATCAATAAAATATATTTTTTTAAAAAATGTACTTCTGGTTATATTCCATAAGTGTTACCCAAACATATACCACAATGCTCCAAAATTACTTAAACCTAATATCATTTAAAAATGACATGAGATTATTTTTCATTTTCTTTTACCTTTAACAAATGATATCATATACAACTGTTTTAAATTAAATTTATTAAAATATAGAACCTTAAGACTGTAACAACTAAAACCCTAGAATATTTAAACTAGACCCAGCGAAAACCCCAGTCCTCAGATTAATTACTAGGAAGGTATAGCTGATATCTTTTCTTTTTAATTTACCTTGCCCAGAGCGACTTTGGCGAGAGTCTACACTTGACTGTCTTCGATCCGGTGGTTCCTCGCTCCCTCCATCTGCATAAAATTAGAAAAAACATAAGCAAATAGATAATAAAATTGATGTAATACAGACTCTGGTTCTGCCTATATCTTAAAATTACTATATCTATCATTTGTTTTCATTTCTTACTAGAGGCCCGGTGCACAAAAATTTGTGCACTCGGGGGGGAAAGGGGGGTCCCTCAGCCCGGCGTGTGCCCTCTCGCAGTCTGGGACCCCTTGGGAGATAACGACCTGCTGGCTTAGGCCTGCTCCCGGGTGGCAGAGGGCAGGCCCAATCCCTAGGTGCAGCCCCTGGTTGGGCTCAGAGCAGGGCCGATTGGGGAGTTGGGGCGCCGCCCCCTGTCATGCACAGAGCAGGGCAGATTGGGAGGTTGCGATGCCACCCTCAGTCATGCTCAGGGTAGGGCTGATTGGGGGGTTGGGGCACCGCCCCCTGTCACACTCAAGGCAGAGTCAATGGGGAGGTTGTGGCGCCATCCCCTGTCACGCACAGAGCAGGGCCGATCAGGGGGTTGGGGAGCTCCACCCCGTCACGCACAGAACAGGGCCCATCAGGGGGTTGAGGAGCTCCCCCCTGTCACTCACAGAGTAGGGCCGATAGGGGAGTTGGCACACCGCCCCCGGTCATACACACAGCAGGGGGGATCAAGGGGTTGGGGCGCCGCCCTCTATCACCCACAGAACAGGGCCGATCAGGGGGTTGGGGCGCCACCACTGTCACACTCAGGGCAGGGCCGATGGGGAGGTTATGGCTCTATCCCATCACACACAGAGCAGGGCCCGTGGGGGGGGGGGGGGGCACCGCCCTCTATCACCCACAGAGCAGGGCCGATCAGGGGGTTGGGGCGCCTTCACCTGTCACGAACAGAGCAGGGCCGATAGGGAGGTTGTGGCCCTGCCCCCTGTCACACACAGAGCTGCAGGGCAATCAGGGGGTTTGGGTGCTGCCCCCTGTCAAATTGATCCTGGTGCCGGGAGGCCTCTCAGCTCCGCTGATCCCAGTGCTGGGAGGCATATTACCCTTTTACTATATAGAATAGAGGCCTGGTGCACGGGTGGGGGCCGGCTGGTTTGCCCTGAAGGGTGTCCTGGATCAGGGTGGGGGTCCCCACTGGGGTGCCTGGCCAGCCTGGATGAGGGATGAGGGCTGTTTTCAGGCTGGAACTGAAGCTCCCAACTGCTCCTTTTTTTCTTTTTTTTCTTTTTTTATTCTGGGCCAGCTTTAGCTCTGAAGCTCCAGCTCTTAGGCCTTCGCTCCTGAAAGCAGGTATCTGGTTTGTTTCGGTTCTTGAAACTCTGTATCAACTCCAGCTCTGAGATCCCAGCCGGCTGAAAGCTGGTTTCTGGGGTTTTGTTTAGCGTCTATATTTGTTACAATGTTTGAAACTGCAGGCTCAGAGGCCTGCAGTGGCAGGTGGGGAACGTTGGTTTCCTCCGTCACTGAAGCAAGCAAGCCTCATGTTAGTTTCAAGCTGCCTGGCTGCCGGCCGCCATCTTGGCTGACAGTTAATTTGCATATTGCCCTGATTAGCCAATGGGAAGGGTAGCGGTCATACACCAATTACCATGTTTCTCTTTTATTAGTGTAGATAATTTCAATCATTAAAATATTTGAGGATATTTCCTATATAAACCAAAGGTTCTTATCCTTAAATTTTTTTTGTGTGGGGATAGTTTATTCTCCCCTCTTAAAGGGTATTCTTTCCTTATCCATATACATATACACTCTACTTTGCATATAATAAAGCTATGTTATCAACTCTGAAGTTCATTCACAGAATTACAATTTAGAAGCCTTGATTTAAAGCAATGCCTAAATTAATTACAGCTGCTTATTTATCTAAAGTAGAAGTTGCCAACCGGTGGCCCACCGACTACTGGTAGTCTGTGAGGTCCGAAAGGCTGGCGACCGCTGGTTAAAGGAAACCTTTGGTGCAGTCGTCACCAACTAGTGGTCCATGGACCACTGGTGGCCCATGAGGTCAAAAAGGTTGGCGACAGCTGATCTAAAATATGTCAAATAATCCCCAGGGCTATATGTTTTACTATAATAAAAATTACATTTACATGTTTTATAAATGACAAGAATACTTATTCTCTCTATATATAAAAGCCTAAGCGACCGAATGACTGGTCGACTTGTCACTATGACCGCACTGGCCACCAGGGGACAGACACTCAATGCACAGGATCAGGCTCCCTCCTGTTTGGATCAGGCCTGCGGGGATCGGGCCAAAACCGGTTATCCAACATCCCCCAAGGTGTCCCGGATTGCGAGAGGGCACAGGCCAGGCTGAGGGACCCTACCAGTGCACGAACACCAGGCCTCTAGTATAATACATAAAAGAGCAATGTAAATCAGAATCAGAAAAACTCAGAAATGAGAAGACAGAAACCAAGGAAGAATCAGAAATAAAACAAAAATCATTTCAGTAATGAAGACTAAACTATTAAGAAACACAAGAGCAAATAAACACAACAAAAAAATCTTTAAAAGACAGAAGGTAAAAAAATGAAAATCTTTAACAAATTATTTTTAAAAGAAGAAAGAGATTAAAAAAGATTTGCAAGATGACAAATCTTGGAAATAGACAAAGAATATCCAGATATGAATAAAAAATAAGAGTCCCTAAAGAAGAAAACCAAAGTAAAAAAAAATGGACAAATATAACAACTAGAATTTAGGAAAGCTTCCCAGGAAAAAAATGTCTATGCATTATGTAATATATATGGTTATATGTCTGCATAAATACATGTATACATACTCACACAAACATATACATATATATATGTGAAATTACATATTATAAGAACACCATGTGTACTTGGGACAATCAACTTAGATCAATGCACAAAGGTATTTTCTATTAAAATTCCTGGACTTTAAAGAAAAAAGGAGAAAAAATCCTTTGGGCATTTAGGCAAAACATCACATGATTTATAAGAAAAAAGTAATAGAAGAAAATGGAATAATATATTGAAAATACACAAAGACATATTTGAGCTGAAGATTTTCCATGAAATAAAATCTACCTCTAAGTATAAAGAGTAATGACAAACTGTTATCAACATGCGAGGATTTAGGAAATATTGTTCTCATGATCTCTTTCTAGGTCTAACAGAGGACTAACATTGGGCAATCAAAGTGACTAGAGACACATCAAAATAAGGACTGGCAATAAGAATTAAACATACAATTGATTGTAGAATTAAGACTAAATGAAGGTTTTAAAACAGAGAGATTATAGTATGTAATGGCTGTAAGACCTGACAATGTAGATTCAGAGCAAGTCAAGTTATTTGCATAATACGGATTTCCTCATTGGGGAGTGTAGAAGGTATAGCAGGACTATATCGGTGAAGTTAGAATTTACTCACCAAACATGAATTAAAGACTTACTACAAATATACAGGGTGGGGTAAAAGTAAGTTAGTTGTTCTTATGGAAAATAATAGAATAATTAATAAATAATAATACAAGAATAAATTCTGTACTTCACATACAACTATAAATTTACTTTTGCTCCACCCTGTGTTGTGAACTTAAGAGAGGAAAACCCACTGATGTAACATGTACAGAAATAATAAAGGAAAGACCTGACTGTCCAACCCAAGTACTAACTTTTCAAATCAGAGCTGAGATTTCCTAGATTTGAGATAATCATAAGAGAACATCTGTTTTTTTAATCAGCTTACTGACTTAAATCCAGCAAATAATATAAAACAACATATCTTTAATACTGAGAAACACTGTTAATAGATTTTTAAATTCCCATTATTTCAAAGAGTTATGAATAATGTCATAGGAGAATTACCACATAGGATAGACAGCTTTCAAATCAGGTGTATTAGAGCACTAATACATTCCTAGTAAAGAAATACCAACCATATAGAGAATATTCAGTATTTAATGATTTCCTATGAAGGAATTTAACTTAGGGGAAGTCTAATAGGAAAGTGCCTAAACAATTCCAAGAAAAATGTTTTCTTTCCTGTAAGTAAGGGATACTTTAAATGATTTATTCTTTTCAATTCAGGATCAAAACATTATAGTTGAAAAATAAACAACTTAAGTGACTTTAAATGTGGCAGCTCAAACCCATCTTTAGTGTTCTCAGCTAGAATAAATATTAGATTAGATTTCTGAGTTCAACATTGGAAGTTTTCTTCAATCTTCCTTTAGGAACTTAAATATATGACCCTAATAGAAGGGGTGGGGAGGTATTAAAACTGAATGGAATACAAATACACACACACACACACACACATATATGTATTAAAGTTTTACTATTCAGATATGAATAGTATACACTTAATGCCAACAAGGACAGACATGATTTGGTGGCCAGCCTGCAAACAGCCATCAGCCCCTCACCCAGGCTGGCCAGGCACCTCAGGGGGGACCCCTATCCTGAAGGGGCTGTGGCCAGCCTGCAAACAGCCATCAGCCCCTCACTCAGGCTGGCCAGGCACCCCAGCGGGACTCTCACCCTGATCCAGGACACCCTTCAGGGCAAACCAGCCGGCTCCCACCCATGCATCAGGCCTCTATCCTATATAATAAGAGAGTAATATGCAAATTGATCCTAACAGCAGAATGACTGGGAATGACGGGTCACTATGACACACACTGACCACCAGGGGGCAGACGCTCAATGCAGGAGCTGCCCCCTGGTGGTCAGTGCACTCCAACAGGGGGAGCTCTGCTCAGCCACAAGCCAGGCTGATGGCTGCCAGTACAGCGGTGGTGGTGGGAGCCTCTCCCGCCTCCTCAGCAGCACTAAGGATGTCCGACTGCAGCTTAGGCCTGCTCCCCGCTGGCAAGTGGACATCCCCCGAGGGCTGCCAGGCTGCCAGAGGGATGTCTGATTGCCAGCTTAGGCCCAATCCCCCGGGGAGCAGGCCTAAGCCAGCAGGCGGTCATCCCCCAAGGGGTCCCAGACTGCGAGAGGGCACAGGCCAGGCTGAGGGAACCCCCCCCCCCCCGAGTGCACAAATTTTTGTGCACCGGG